AGATTTTAGCTTTAGTGCTAATTTCATATCATAATATATCCTGACCTTAAACAGAACAGACGATAGATGTCTGATATACAGACGAGCGCTTTCTGCAGCTTGAAGTGTGCACATGAAGCACATTTCTAACTTCTAGAGTCTAACAGACTTTATTTTTAGCACTAAATTCATTTCATAACATGCAAACACTGAATCTTGACCCAGAATTTCAATTTGTGATATAAAGAGGTGTACGAAGTGGACAATAGATGATTGAAATGCAGAGCTGCATTCAGAAAAGAGCGCTTTTTGTAGATTTAGTGAAATAAAATAAAAAAGGAAACTGCACATTTATAACCTGCATGTGTCTCATAGATTTTATTTTTAGCACCAACAGCGTTTTATTTCAAGCTAATATAAAACTTTAAAACATAATAATATATATATATCTTTGAATTTGTGTTACAAATATATGAACAGAACAAAGAGAAGACTAAATACAGTTTTCAGAAGAGAGCGCTTTTTGCAGATTTAGTTAAGATAAAAAGGAAAACTGTGCTCATAAAGCTCATTTATAATGCCTAAAGTGTCTAAAAGGTTTATTTTTAGCGCTAATTTCATTGTATTTCAAGCATTAATACAGCTTTAAAGCATACTAACATATATATATATATATATATTGACCCTAAATTTCAATTTGTGTCATAAAGGGATGAACAGAACAAACAATAAATGACTGAATGCAGACTTGTATCCAGAAAACAGTGNGTGTTGTGTTCAGAAAACAGCGCTTTTTGCAGATTTAGTGAAATAAAAAATGGAAGCTGCACATGAAGCACATTTATAACCAATAAGTGTCTAATATATTTATCTTTAGCACTAATTATTTTACTATTTCATGCATATATGTTTTATTTTCAGCCTATCTACGACTATAAAGCCGTCTAACATATATAGCTCGACCCTAAATTTCCATTTTCCTCACAAAGACACGAGCAGAACAAACAATAGACGACTGAAATACGGCGTTGTGTTCAGAAAACAGCAGATCTTTGCAGATTTAGTTAAGGAACAAAAAAAAGGTAAACTGTGCACATGAAGCACATTTCTAAGTTCCAAAGTGTGGAGGTTTTAGTGGAGGGCTCGGGAGCAGGGAGCAGCAGCACAGGGACACAGTGAGGAAGTGTCCTGTGGTTGTGAGTTGTGATGAGAAGCGACAGCTCTCCTGCGGAGCCTGTAAATTGGCTTGGCGTATCACAGACACACAGCCACGCTACATCGCTCAGGTGTCACACCAGGGAAGCCGCTCCAGAAGAAAAATACCTTCCAAGCTCTGACTTTGATGGAGAATAAACAGCACGACCGGCTTAGTGTTATTGAAAGAGAGAGGAAATTGTATAAGCACATATTCCGTCTGCGATTCTGAAACGCTGCCGTCGGATCTGATGATAGAGTGCAGGATGCAATCACCTGTTTCTGTCTCGGGTTTTTTTTTTTTTTTGTTGGGGGGGTAGTCGAGGTGAAAGGTAACACGAGGAGTAAAGCCCCTAAACATGTCTAGGACTGTGTCATTAGTGGGTGACGTAAAATGGCTGGGAGGACGCCATATATACAGCATGGGGACTATTTACTGTATATATATGGAGTTTAGTGATGGTTGGATGTAAAGGTTACAGGCCTGGGCAAAAACACACACACTGATTTAATTAAAATGAAAGAGTTAAAAGCCTTTCGTTGACTAATTTATAATAATTCCAGCTTGTAATGCAGAGACTGGTGCAGTTCAGGCTAAACGTGAACGTGCACCTTATGGTTCATTATCAGTGTGACCAAATCATTATAGATGCAAAATGTGCAAGTTGATCAAAATTTACCAAAATTAGTCTCTAACCCGGATCCATGTTCTTCTTTTTTTTTTGCCCAGGCCTCACAGGGAATAGTTCTGGGAAGCGTGGACGTGATGGCAGCATGATGAAATGAGGGGAAATACGTAGTTTGTGAACGACAGAACCCCACAGTCTCTTATGAACAGCTCCTCTCTGATCTGGGTGGACCCACACAGAGCGCTCGCTGATTTCGAGACACCTGCACCAGGTGCAGAGCTCGCACCTGTTGTTCAAACGCAGGACGTACTTGCCAAAAAAAAAAAAAAAAAAAAGATTGTTCACAGGAGAAAAGGTGCATCGCCGCTGTTCCGCCGTGCACACTGCGATGACTCATGCTCTCCGTGTGCGTGCGTGGGCGTTACATCCTCTGTTCGAACAACCTATTAATTGCATTTGGTGCAAATGTTTTCCAAA